ATCGCCCCGTAAAATATAAAGTGTTGTCGTCGTATGTGCGTAGAGCCTCTACGCTCTCACTGAATATCAGCGTAAAATAGCAGCATATTGTAATATGTATTACGTTCAATGATTACAACTCAACGCAAATTGTTAACGTAAATTAAAAAAAAACCATCAAAACTTATGTGTATTTAAGATAACAGCTTATTTAAGTTCAAGTTTAAAGCAACCGGTTGTGAGTGACGACCTTGTGACCATTGCAAAACAGCTGTAGCGTGACTCTACCACGTAGAAAATTTAACTTATCGTGATTTATTCATATTTGTTTTGAATTTACATGAATTATAAAGTCTCAATCGCGCTGTTAGGAGGCCGATCCAGTTTGACGTTAAAAACTCATAACTACCTAACTCTAACCTAACTGAAACAAAACTATTTGTTGTTGCTGAGGAGTTTTTCGTTTAGTGTAGTAGTTGTTAAGACTCTTCATAATAATGTCCTCCACAAACTGAATTTCCGTCACGGCGGCCGGTCTCAATGGAGACTAGCCACTGCGTGCGAGAGGGTTATAATATTACACGAGTGTAACCCTCTCAGGCACAGGTGCACTTTTCTACCGACTTCAAAAAGGAGACAGTACTTAATTAGACTATATTTTTTTATGTGTGTTATCTCATAATTTTTTACTGGGTGAACCGATTTCGATGATTCTTTTTTTATTTGAGAGCCGGTGCTTCACATGTGCTCCCATATAAATGTCTGATTTAATAATCTATTTGATTAAGGTCTGACCAATAGTTTTTGAGTTATTCTTAATAATTTATATTGAAGTCGGTTGTACAAAATTTTTAATTTTTATTCCTTCACTCTCATAGTCCAATGGGACGGCAATCCGACGTGGCTGGAGAGTGATCAGGCGCCTCACCAATAGCTTAACGCTACTAAGAGTTTTTATACAGATAAACCCAGTAACTGGTTTTGGCCCGACCCGAGATTCGCATCCGGGACCCCATGATCAGTAGTCGTGTTTACGACCACTAGTCCAACGAAGGAGTTAAACGTCGTTACATCTATCATAGGGTTCTAAAGAAATTATAATTATTACTGATATGTTTTGTTGATATGGGGTTCCACTAGGTAAACTGTAGTTATGTAAGACAGCTCACCAGATTACAATGTTCCTTTGTCTCTGATTTAATGAATTCTAGGTTCTAGCCATGAACGTGGTAGAACCATGCTGCAGCTATATTAATAGTATAATTGTTGCACGAATGGGTAGGCCCGACCGGGGAAGGACCATGCTCTCACAGGATACCAGCGTAAAATAGCAGCTTAATGCTGCTGTGTTTTATAAGGTGAGTGTCTACACTCCGGTTCTCTAGAACCGGAGGCCCTTTTTACTGGAAACGAGGCATTCTATCTTAGTCCTCACGGCTGACAATGCATCTGCATTTTAATTCGCAAACGAAGATGTAGATGTCTATGGGCCACAGCAATCACACCATCAGGTGGACTGTGTGCTCGTTTGTCACCCTTATTCTATAAAAAAATGAACAACAACAAACAGAGAAGGCTTGCTTTAACGTCTTTTAAGTTCAGGGACAGTCTAGAATGACTGTTATTAATTACATCTTACTTTGAACTTGCGACCCTGAATAAATTAAAATGTTTAATTGAACATCTGCTAGCTACGTTAGCATAAATCATAATTGGAGGATCACAAACCGACTTGTCACAAGGCTCCAATTGAAAACCAGCTCTTAAGCCGTAGCAGCAATATGATTAGTTGTAGAGCTATTTGGTATTTCATAATTCTAGTAACAGACTGCAAGACCTTAGTTCTGAAGATCTTAGTTCTCAGAGGCGACAACATAAACCTGTCGAATTCTTTGTTTGAAGTTGACTGTAAGTGTCCGTGGACTTAGTAACCACCATATACCATCAAATGAACAGTGAGTTCGTTTATCACTTTAGTTTTATATAAAGAAAAAATATCATTTACGTAATTATTGAATACATCTACAGCATTTGTTTCCCTGTTTATTATTTGCGTATCTACTATGTACTATATCTCTTACTACTATCGTATAGTTCTGCAGTCTAAATTGATTTAAACGATCATATTTTTTCATGCCATACCCCGGTCGAGGCGACCTATAATATAGCTGCAGCGTGGCTCTACCACGTAAAAACATTTATATACAACCGACAAACGAACTTAGAGTCTACCTGATGGTAAGTAGCTACTGCAGTCCATGGACACTTGCGGCGACCTTCGAACAAAGAAGTCTACAACAGATGCATTGTAACCTCTCAGAACAAAGATGGAATGTCCCTCTCTTGAATCTTGACTCACGTCTTTCATATCCGTATATACAGAAATTAAGAGTATGAGTGTGCTACGCATATATGATTGTCGGTACCTTTAGTACTCTTGATTTGGCTCTTCGTCAATATATCGTCCATTTGTTCCGTCTAGTCCCTTGCAGACTCTGCCACTCACGGACATAAACAGATATTTCATATTACGTTAAGCATGTGTATCAAGTTCAGCAAAGAAACAAGTCGTATAAAACTTTAGTACTCTAAAATCTCAGAATAACAATCGCAGCTGGAGCCAATATTTAGCCCATAGATTACCTCATTTCATCCGGGGAAAATTTGCCATAGTTAGAGCAGGCGGTTTAGCAAAAAAATTTTATTACGTCGACGTCACCTTAAAACTATTAAATCGGTCAATGTAATGTGGTTCGGTGCTTTTCAGTTCAGCAGTAGATCTAGGATGCACGGGACTGTGGAATCTAAGGAACGGCTAATTTTAAAACGATGATTTATATTCTTAAACCAATTGGGAATTCAGACTACTATATGAATGAGTTTTATTTTTTTATCATCATCAGTACATCCCATCACAAGTCCACTGCTGGACATAGGTTTCTTCAATGAACACCCCAAAGCACGTATTATTATTATACCTGAGCTATCAACTTCCTACATCTTTTACCAGGTTGTCATTCCACCTAGTAGGGGGCTGCCTTACGCTCTGCTTATCGGTACGAAGCTGCCATTCGAGAACCTTTCTTCCTCGTCGGTGGTGGTTCTTTGAACTAAATGATCGGCTAATGATCAAAATCTTTTTTTTTTTGATGACATTGACTTTGGTACGTTATAATCTTCCACACCCTTTAGTTTAATGATCGTAAGAGCTACTGCTGGTCATGTGGTCCCAGATTAAAACCCGGGTCGCGTCAAATTCAGTTATTGGGTTTTTCTGTAAAGAAATTCTCAGACCCGGAATTAGCAAGTTGGCGGTGTTTTCACCCCCGAATCTCGGAAAGCACGTAAAGACGTTGCTCCTGCGCCTGATCTCTCGTGCCATTTTGACATCCCATAGGACTGTGAGAGTGAGGGAATAGATAGTGCACCTGTGTTTGCGGATTACACTCGTAAACTGTAACAATGTCCTGCGCAGATGGCTAGTCTCCGTTGAGACTGAACACCGATACCGAAATTAGGTAGATATACATAGGTATTGATAAAATCCTTTATGCCTGTGTCTATCGATCGCACAGCATATATTTCCATCCGATTACAATGCGGGTGTCTTCAAGGCAAGAGTGAATAGGCTTTTGTTTAAGTCAGTGCGCCTCACCATCTTATGCTACATCACCACTTACCATCAGGTGGGATTGTAGTTAAGTGTTGGCTTAGTATAATATAAAAAAAATGTTACTGAGGTCGAAATCTACCAGGAAACTAGGGTTGCCAACTATTATTGTAAGATATAGTAGTATTTTATGAACATAGTGTTAAAATATATGGTATGTAACATGAAAATATCAGGTGGGATTGTAGTTTAAACACTGGCTAATAGGTAAAAAAAACTAGGTTCTGTCGATTTTAAGTTTTTTTCATGTATTAGAATAAAGTCAATCTACTGGGCAATTGTTTTCTAAGCTATGTTTGAGAATTGATCGAACGGTCAAAATGTTGTTGGCCCATAAATAAATTATACAAATGAGTGGTGCAATATGGGTCGTACAAGTGCGGTTAAAAGGGCACTGTATAAATTGAAGTGGTTAGTACTACGTTTGAATTGAAGCCAATAGTTAACTTTCATGTTTAACGACGGAAGTAATATCTCCTACGTTTTTTTATGTTTTGTTGTTTTTATATAAATTAATTATTTTAAAATATAGAAACCTGTCTCTCTTTTTCTCTCTGTCTACTAGCTTGGTCGTTAAGTCACATCGCGACAGCAATAGTTCTGCTAAAAATTTAAAAAAGTATTCTTCCTTAGAGCATACACCCAAGTCTTCAAATGTCTTACCGCTCGGCTATCCCTTTAACGATCGCTAAATTTCTTAGGTGGTCGAAAAAAAATTATGTATAATAAGACATATGGGGTTGTTTTGTCAATTCAACAGTAAAGTAAAATAAATATTTATTACTCGTCACATAAAATTCCTTGATTTTATTTTTGCTGTGTAGTTGCGGCGTAAGAATATCCAATGTCATCACGTGGGTTTCATAATTGGCGACTGAGGGAAACTCAACCGGAGATCGTCAGAATCATCTGTTTGCAAAAAGCCACATATGTATAAAACTAGTTTTGAACACAAATTATTAATTTTTCGGCACTGACCAAAATTTTCATTCATCATTCGACCGACTCTATTTTTACTTTGGTTTAGCGTGAACGCTACTTTGTTTACAGCTGTTAAACCTCATTATTTACCTTTATATTCTTGAACTTGTAAAAGTCCAGTGCTGGATATGGGTTGCTCTTCGTTGTTGGGAGAATTTGCCTTAATAGTCATGCTCAGTTCACGGAGTGGCGGTCGCAGTACCATATTTGACGCTGTTTCGCGGCAGCGGTGAGGGTATTTTACGTCTCGTGTAAATGGAATGATTATTCCACCATCTGTATAAGATCTATTTTAGTTTTCTTTATGTACCAGTGAATTTGATCGTATAAAATACACAAAAAGCGACTAAAAACTACATGTCTTTTACAGGACTGCCTGCTGGTGTCACGGTCGAGGAAATAGAAATCCCGGTGCCATGGGGTCACGTAGCTGGAAGATGGTGGGGCCCCCGATACAAGCAACCGTTGATCGCTATCCATGGTTGGCAGGACAACGCTGGCACTTGGGACAATCTCATACCGCTTCTGTCTCCCACCACGTCTGTTCTTTGTATTGACCTACCAGGCCACGGCCTATCCTCACACTATCCGACCGGTATGCTGTATTACGTCTTTTGGGATGGTATATCACTTTTACGGCGTATTGTAAAACATTATGGTTGGAGTAAAGTTAGCCTCATGGGCCATTCGTTAGGCGGCGCTCTTAGTTTCATGTACGCAGCATCATTTCCCGATGAAGTAGACAGGATAATTTGCATCGATATAGCTAGCCCAGCTGTCAGAGTACCAGAGCACATGGTCAAAACTACAGGCTGGGCAATAGACAAGTTACTGGAGTACGAGAATCTGTCCGAAGACAAAATACCCTGCTACGATTACGAGGAGATGATCGATATAGTCGTCGATGCATATAAAGGCTCGGTGTCAAGAGATAATTGCAAGGTGTTAATGAAGAGAGGGATGGCACCAACGCCCGCTCATTTGAAGAAGAAAGGGTATCATTTCAAAAGAGATCCAAGGCTCAAAGTATCCGGACTTGCGATGATGTCATTAGAAACTGCATTGGCGTATGCTACTAAAGTTAAATGCAAGGTTCTAAACATTAGAGCGATACCGGGCCAGAACTGGGAGAGATTAGATTATTACAAAGCGGTGGTCGAAAAACTAAAAGAAACCGCCGATGTGAGATACGTGGAAGTTGAAGGCACGCATCACGTCCAACTGAACTCCCCAGAGAATATAGTTGATATCCTTGAGGATTTCTTAGAAGAATATTAGTAAAATGATAGGGATAATTCAACTGATGTGATATAAATTATGTGATGTTGAAAGTAGTTAGTAAATATGCATAGGTCGCTGTAAAACGACTTTAAATAAAGTTTAAGGGAATCATGCACAAATACTTGAGCAGCGTTTAAGTCTCGTGCTGTCTTTATCACTTTAAGTAAAAGTGGCTGTGACAGCACGAGACTTAATAACATATTAAAATTGAGTAGCCTTTGAATATTTGGCCAATAGTTTAATATCATTCCGATGAATAGAAATCACTTTTTCATTCGTTACAGCCTATCAAATAATTCAATTCCTGAACGTAGGCGTAGATTTTTCCATAGTTGCTACGCTGGGCCACCACAATTTTTATTATTTTTCATCTTTATCAGGAAGATGCTGCTGCCCCACCTACTGTTTCATTTCCATCTGTCGCCTCTGATGACGGAATGATATGGGGTAGTGGACTAGTCGATTCTCTTACTCCGCCAACTATGCTTTAGGATTGTTTAATATTTATGCGTGCACCATAAGAATAGATGTTACGTCAAATTGACATTTCGCTACTCATTGCACACAACTTCATATGCGTTGTGTAGGCTGTGCTAAAATACATATAATATAAGTTTATTTTTATTTAAATTGTTATTAATTGCTTGTTGTATGTTTTGTTGTTTCTTCTGAAAAGAAATATAAAATAATAATCCTAGTATTAAGACGTGTCATGTAAAATGACGTAAGTGTATTGTCAGAATATCTAATTTGTATTCTTATCTCTGCGCGCATGGTATATAGGAATTGTAATTTTTATTAATTTCTACGTAGACAAAACTATTTATAAAATTTAATTTTGTACTTGACGTTCGTTCATTTTTATGATTAGTATTGACACATGTAATTGTTGTTTCACTTAAGGGTGCGCAAAACGGTCAAATGCAATTGTCAGTGTCTACGTAATTGGAGGTTTTTAAATGATGGGTAATTGAAGTTCTGGTTGGAGATGTATCAATTGCGTACTCCTCAGTCGACTACTAAATTGTTTTAGCCGTAGAATGGAAAATATCGCGTCAACGCTCCGTGTGTTGTTAGTACAAAGCTATTTTATATATAGCGCAGTACTTTGAAATTTTGATAGCGTTATTTTAGGCTTCGGTGTGTTTCGCTTCAAGCGCAACGACAGCGTCGCCATATCTCCCTATGTTCACACCGGAGGTACGAAAGTGATAATTGTTGGCATCAATGCGTTTCATTCAGGTAGATGTTGACGATTGCAATGGACCGTGTCGGGGACTCTTAGAAAGACCGACTGGTTTCAGTCATCAGTGTATACACAAGTTAAAAATACATTGCAAGCGAGTATAAGGTTCTGAAAATATGTTGATGATTTTAAAAATGTTATAATGGTTATAGAATGGCTTTGTTGGGATAAAAATCTGTAATAATGTAAACAGTTGTGCTTTTACAACATAAACATTAAAAAAGTGAAATATAAACAACGTAATATAATTTAAGACATGGACAATTATTTTATAGTTTATGGATGAGGCTTGTTTACTTGCAGTTTTTTCTTAATACAGACAAGAGCTGTTCACAGTATTGTAAACAGTCTGGGACTTTTCCTTTGCTAAACCCAAACTGTTATATTTAAAATACTATCATTATATATGTACGTTCTTACACCGCACTTATTTGTGCCGCAATACACAAATGTATGTTGCGTTTTAGCTACGTTAGTTTCATAAACATTCAATATTAACTGGTAAACTATATTAAGCTTAAATCGAGAGAGGATCCGTCAAGTTTAGTTTGTAATTTGATTAAACTATAAGTACTGACAGAATTTTACTTCTTTTATAAATTAATGTTTTCAACATCACTACTTAACATCGGCAATGTATGATGCCAGTGTCCTACAATTTATGTGCATCACATTAACTTATGACACTATTTGCTCTCTGTAAGTTTATATCGTGTTGCACCTCGACAAAAAGGAGACCAGTAGTTACAGTATTTTAAATTAGTAAGTGACATTTAAGGTTTTAAAAATGATTTTCAAAGCAGTATCCATTCCTGACGTATCTTAACTTGCAAATCGAATTGCAAGTAACTTTATCTTGGCACTAGAAATGAGGATCTGCCGAGTCCTACTAAAATTTAGGGGTCCTACCCACAGAGGGTATGGGCAGGGTTTTTTTTAAATGCACATTTTACAAACTAGGCAAGTGAAGTGTCATTTTCTATGTAATATTTTGCGCTGAATCGAATGGGACCATACCTATACGTATAGGATCAATATTTTGCGAGATATGAAGGGTTTTTGTTGAAAAAAATGAAAATATTGCAAGTCAAAAGTAAGATTTAATCAGCAAAAACAACTGAAAAACTTTTTAGTAATATCAACTATGAACATGTTGCTGACGGCTCCGTGGCGCAGTGACTTAGCAATGAGTTACTTGCGCTGGGGGGCGCGGGTTCGAATCCCGCACGGAACAAGTATTTGTATAGCCTACAAATAATTGTTCCGGGTCTGGATGTTTGTCCTTGTGCAATTTGTGTTTTGTAAACTGCCTCCACGATACAGGAGAAAATCCTAGTGTGAGGGTAACGTTTAAAAAAAAGACATGTTTAGTTAATATTAAATTTATTCTTCATCTTCTGCGAAATCACTGAGATCATCGTCATCGATGACTCCAGGGGCCCCCTTTGTCCAAGTCCGAGTTAGAGCAAGAAGCCACTCGCATATTTTGCATACAGGCGAGCAGGGTATCCAACTTTTTACGCATAAGCACTTAAGAGTGGAACATCCACTTTTGCACGAGCAAAATATTTATTATGTCTATTTTTTGCTTGCCCATTTGAATGGGGGTGAAACACAAAATTTATTTATTTTATCAGAACAAAAATTTTAAGCATTATCCGATACTAAGGTTTTTACTAATCCAAACTGACTAAATATCTTACATAGCTTAGTAATAATAGCCTCACTATTGGTACTAGTAAGTTGGTAGCATTCTACCCACTTAAAATATGCGTCGGCTGCAATTAGAAAGTTCCTATCATATAACGAAAAAATATCTACATATACAAACGATCCCATCCTCGCCAAGTAAAAATTCCGCTCGATAAAACTTGTATCTCACCGCAAATGAACATTTTTTGTGACAAAATGTACACTTAACTTTTCTAGTAGTACTTTGTACTCTTATGTTTTCTAATTCAGTTGGGAAGACGAGATCTCTTGCCACCCGATACGTATCTTCCACTAGCGCAGTTAGTAACAGGGTACGTCGTTTCACACCAGACTTATCCGATTCCTCGGTGATGTTATTCGCAGTACAGTACTGCTGAGAACGACTTTTGAATAATATTCCACTCCTGTACGCGGTGGTCGAAAATAAGACTGCCGCCAATAATAACGTTTCCGCCATTTGCCATTTTTATCCAATCGACTTTATTTATATCACTGTAACACCACAGTAACGATGACTATCAAGAGTGACGTTGCTGAGTTTGGCACCATACAGTTTGAGAAACAGGTTCATCTGCTCTTCTTACTTCTTCAGCTGTAGCAGTGGTATTGTTAAAGACTGAAGCACACTCTTGTAGGGCGGGATTTTTCTCGAGGAGTTTGAGGAGCTGTTTTTACCTTTGCCGTGAACAGCGCTGGGTGACAACCTGAAAATGCATGTGCTGTGAGTATGTAATCTTTCACCTTCACGTGCTGCTGCTGAAGGTCGGTTGAACAAAATGAACGAGGAAGAAAACATCTTCTAAATCGCACAGCGGTGGACCGCCAATTATCCAGATGGTGTGGATGGTATCGGGAGTTCTGCCGCGATGTGCGTTCGTGAAATTTGGCGGCTGGGATTAATCCGAACAATTCCTCAGAGCACTCCCCGTGGTAAATGCGAAAGAAAATGCAGAGATGCAACATCTCTTCGCAGCGCCAACGAGTCGAGCCGATCGGAAAGGACTCGGTCGTCGACGATTCGAGCAGCTCTGCGCTGGATACGGTCAAGTGGAAGGAGCTGGCACTGGGGAGCCCCAGACCATTGATGGGAACAGTATTCCATGTGAGGCCGAACCTGCGCCTTGTAAAGTTGCAGGCGATGTGCCGGCATGAAATACTGTCCCGCTCTGCTGAGCACGCTAGCATTTTAGAGGCCAATTTGGCCTTTTCTTCCAAGTGACCACGAAACTGCACGTCACTCGATATGTCGACCCCGAGGATTCCGATACTGGCTGAGGCAACAAGGGGAGTACCTTGAAACTGAGGAGATACGACAAAGGGGTTCTTTTTAGTGGTAAACGCGCAAACTTGTGTCTTCTGAGGATTAAACTGGACTAGATTTAGTCTCCCCCAATCCGAGACTGTCCAGCAAAGACTCGATTTCAGACACACGTTTGTTCCGGTACTCGGCGAAGTTTTCCCGAGAAATATTGGCACGGCCGGTGTATAGAGCATCACCAGTGCTGTCATCCGCATAGCAATGAATGCTACCGGTTTGCAACATATCATTGATATGCAGAAGAAACAGCGTTGGTGATAGCACGCAGCCTTGTGGAATACCAGCGTTAATAGGCTTGTAGTTGTTGTAGGAGCATGCACCGTCTACAACGACCTTGATGCCCCGATCTGCAAGAAAGCTGGTGATCCAATTGCATAAGCTTCGAAAGAAGCGCTTTGTACCAAACCCGATCGAAGGCCTTCGCAATGTCCAAACTAACGGCCAATGCCTCCCCCTTGGACTCTATTGCCTCCGCCCATCTATAAGTTAAGTAGACCAGAAGATCACCAGCTGATCGACTCCGACGAAAACCGTATTGGCGGTCACTAATCAGCTGGTGATCCTCAAGGTACCGCATGAGGTGGCAGTTTATAACGGATTCCATTATTTTGGAGAACAAGGGGGTGATGGCTGTTATAGGCCTGTAGTTGGACGGGTCTGAGCGGTCGTGTTTTTTAGGGATCGGGTGGACAAAAACTGTCTTCCATGATTTCGGGACTA